ATTAACAAACTATAGTTGATAACCTAACTTCTAAACTTGTCCTTATAGTGTCTAACATTCCAAGAAGCTACACAATGTAATTTAATCATATAACTCCCTAAGTCAAAGATAGATACTCAAACTCCATATAAACAGAAATCTTATCTAAATATAATTTAATAATTCTATCTCATGAACTGACTATATCATTTGAAAAGAATTCTTGTATCCTTTATCGATCTATCAACAATGATTCAAATTCCATTTTGTTTCCATTCTGTACATTCTGAATCCCAAATCGAAAATGTTTGTGGGTAACTACTCCAATTCTAAATTAACAATATCTGCAAAAATTTCAATTATTCATGGTCTTCTAAAATTCTAATTATCCCCAACAACAATTGAGATAGCTCAATATAATGTTCTTTTCCTTTAATTCCATATCACTCAATGATAACATATACACAACTTCAATTTCTAACCCTTTTGAACACCAATATAACTTAAACTCCGGTAATCGATAAATATCGATTTCTCATAATGTGATAATACCACAATAAATTCAAACCCAATATAACCAACAATAAAACATGTCTGAATCATACCTCTTTAACAATCTATAGTAATATCTATAATTCATCATTTACTTCAGCATACTTTCTAAACCTTAATATAATTCATTATCATAAATTAGGCCCTCATCAACTTTAGATACGAGAGTACATATTTCATCATAATGTAATCTGATACAAAGCTTGTGGCATTTCTAAACCCACACAATTTTGGTGCTCTTTATTTCTATGAAAATACAATAATAACATTTAATCCATGATAATTCTTTACTCTTATTCCATAAAGAGGCCATTGACCTATTATCAATGCATAAGCCTTCTTGTATATTGCACAAAGACCTACAATTAATATTATAAACTAAAGATACCATTCCACAGTTTAATAAAATTTATGTTTGATGATCATCTTAGACTTTAAACTATCCAACACATCCTCCATATGTTCCACAACCTATAGATCTCGATAAGAATGGAATACTTTATTCGAGAGATCTAAAAATACAATTGAAAATCTCCCAAACTTTACATTACTAAAAATTCATTAAATTCACCTTAACTTCCAAGTTTAGATCGAAGCTTCTAGATTGTATGTAATATGACATAATAATCCACAAATGGCCTTGACAAAGTTAATTAATAACCCAAATATCTCATCACAATACTTGGCTATAGGACGACCATAACATTTCTTCACTTGCTAAACACTATATCATGCAAGTATAACTTCAAACATTTGATTATACCTATTTCCTCAGGATCACACAAAAATAATGCTCTTTATAACTATCAAGCAACATTTCACATAATAATATACCATCAAGATTCCGTATGCAAATTTTTCAATCACCATAATTTTCAACTATGCCATTCTTTACTTCAATAAATGATTACTTTACTATAACTCAAGAATGATGATCCATGTGCATTTATTCAACTCCTTCATACATTTTACGCAATTAACATAGATATACCGATTCAATATTCTCTTTCGTAAACAACGATTTACCCCCACAATAAGCCGTCCTTGTGAAATCTATCCATATCTTTTTCACATCTCTTATAATCAAATAACCCGTAATTATTTAAAATGATCGGAATCACATAAATGTCAATTTCCTCAATGAATAACATACACAATAACACATTATTATCTACCAATCAATATTCAATATAATATCATTATTAACTCGCCACGAGACTCTTATCATATATATATATATATAGATACACACCACCATAATTTCTATCATCCCCCATATGAGTGGCAACCAATTACTGTTGGTGTGAGTTGTAAAATTAGAGTAATTTGTGGCAATAATCTTCTAATTAAAGTTGTAATTATAGTTGTCTACCTTAATTAGTTGGAAGTAGCCAAATATAGAGGTCATCCGGCTGCTATATGTATCTCTAAATTTCTGGTTATTGTATATACAAGAATTGCAGAAAATATATTCCCTAAACTATCATGGTATCAGAGCCATGGAAATCCGATCACTAGACCAATCAGTATCAGCACCGGCTGAATTTCCAATTTCTCCTAGCCGGCTCCAATACACACAGAAAATCAAGAGGAGATAGAAGCTGCCAACGACTGTCATAATATATATATACATACACAAGGAAGTTGGGGAAAGGAGGAGAATAAAGGGGCTGCCTGGGATTGAAGAAAAAAGTCAAGAATTGAGGCTACCATTGGAGTCAAAAATTGAGGCTGCCCTTGGAGTTTGGGCAGATTAGAAGAGAAAACCAAAGCAGGTTGATTTCTTCAATTAATAAAATTGGATTCCAAAGGCTGAATAGAATACGCAGGAAGCTAATTGAATGAAGGATTGAATTCTTTTCAGAATCAAACAAGGAAGCTGACTGCTATATATATTCTTCTATGCACAAAAAGGCTGGGAATTGACTCAAGATACACGTTTAAAACGGATTTCCTGTGGGGGTTTAAATTTGACAGCAGCTGAATTGGTTGATTGCAAACCCAAAAATGAAAGACCAATTATTCTCCATGGCCGACACTGACACAGACCCACCTATCTCTTCCAGTCTGGAAGAGTTAACCATGAAAATGACTGAGATCTTGACCGAATCCTCAGTCCCGACCCCGACCACAGACTTTGTTGCTGAAGGGATCAGCGATAAGATTGACGAAACTAGAACTGATGAAGGTTCAGGTATTGCTCTCTTCAGTTCTTATAGAGATGGTGACCGCAACACTTGGATACTTGATTCTGAAGCCACAGATCATATGACATTTGATGCGAATGATTTCTCTCAGTGTTCCCCTCCACGACACACTAGTATTGCCAATGCCAATGGGGTTATTTCTTCAGTCACTGGGGTTGGCACTGTTTTATTGTCGCCAACCTTATCATTACCCAATACTTTACTTGTGCCATCTCTTTCTCACAAATTACTATCTATAAGTCAAATTACCATGGATTTAAATTGTGTGGTACTTATTTACCCTACTTTTTGTCTTCTTCAGGATATTCTCACCAAGGAGATTATTGGCATGGTACTAAGAGGGGGGGACTTTACTACATGGACGACTTTGGCATGGGTCGAGCACATAACATACACCATCCAAGTGATCTAAAAGCACAACAGATTTGGCTTTGGCATCGTCGGTTAGGCCATCCTTCATTTGCATATTTGAAACATTTGCTACCTGATTTATTTTCGGACTTGTCAGTTTCAAACTTTACATGTGAGGCTTGTATTTTAGCTAAGAGTCATCGAGCTACTTATCCATTAAGTACAAATAAAAGTATAGCTCCTTTCACTTTAATTCACTTTGATGTGTGGGGCCCTTCCCCAAAATCTTTTACGTCTGGTTTCCGCTGGTTTGTGATAGTTGTGGATGACTGCACTCGAATGACTAGGCTCTACTTGTTGAAAACCAAAGATGAAGTTTTTCATGTTTTTAAATTATTTCATAACATGGTTCGAACTCAATTCTCTGCTAAAATTCGAATTTTGAGGTCAGATAATGGTGGAGAATATTTGAATCATTATTTTCGAGATTATTTTCAACAAAATGGTATGATCCATGAGACATCATGCCCTCAAACGCCTCAACAAAATGGTATAGCTGAACAGAAAAATCATCACATTCTAGAAACTACTCGTGCTCTTCTACTAAGTGCTCATGTACCTAGCACCTATTGGGCTGATGCAGTTACCACAGCTGTCCACCTTATTAATCGGATGCCTACTAAGGTTCTTGATTTTCAGACTCCACTACATGCCTTGTCGACATTTGTCTCACTGCCCACAATATTGATGCTTCCGCCTAGAATCTTTGGGTGTGTTGTTTTTGTTCACCTCCACAAGAACCAACGCATGAAATTGGATCCTTGTGCCATTCGTTGCCTTTTCTTAGGATATGTTGTACATCAAAAAGGATATCGGTGCTATGATCCCACTACCCGGCGTACTTATGTGACAATGGATGTCACATTTCTTGAATCCGAGACTTTTTACTCTCCTGGAACATCCAATTCTCCTCTTCAGGGGGAGATGAGTGGTAAAGAGCTGAATTGGCTGAGATTTAACTGGCCAGAAGCAAATACAGGACCATCAGTTATCGAGGAACCTACTATTGAACCAATAGTATCTCTGACTTCATCTCCTACTAAGGATAATACAGGACCATCATTCATCGAGGAACTTACTGCTGAACCGACATCTCCCCACTCTCCGATATCTAACGACCCATCTCCTGAGAATATCGTTGAGGTAAGCACACCAACCACACCTTTCATTCCTAACAATATAGATACTTCTGTTGGCTATGAATTACCTTTCAGGCACAATCATGGCAAACCACCAAACAGATATTCTCCTGAAATCAAGGATCAAAGGTCAAAATATCCAATTGCCAATTATGTATCTACGGAGAGGCTTTTTGAACCTCTCAAAAACTTTGCAAATGAGCTCTCTTCATGTCATATTCCAGCTAGTGTTGATGAAGCTTTGAAAAATCCTAGGTGGATACGAGCTATGAAAGAAAAGATGGAAGCATTGCTGAAAAATGAGACATGGGTTCTCATGCTGTTACCTGAAGGACAAAAGACAGTGGGATGCAAATAGGTGTTCTCCATCAAGTACAAAGCTGATGGATCAGTTGAGCGATACAAAGCGAGACTGGTGGCGAAAGGCTATACACAGACATATGGTATAGACTATCAAGAGACTTTCTCACTGGTGGCTAAGTTAAACACTGTTAGAGTTCTATTATCTTTAGCAGCGAATCTTGATTGGCCTTTACACCAATTTGATGTGAAAAGTGCTTTTCTCCATGGCGATCTTAAAGAGGAAATTTACATGGACATTCCCCCAGGATATATGGCAACCTCAGAGAATATGGTTGTATGCAAACTGCAACGGACTTTATACGGATTAAAACAATCTCCTTGAGCATGGTTTGGACGATTGAGCTTGGCAATGAGGAAATATGGATTCCATCAGAGCAATTCCGACCACACACTTTTTTTGAAGCATCGACGAGGCAAGACCACAGCTCTGATAGTCTATGTAGACGATATGATTATTATAGGAGATGATTCAGAAGAAATATCATGTCTTCAGAAGCAATTGGCAGCTGAATTTGAGATGAAAAACTTGGGAGGACTCAAATATTTTCTGGGAATTGAAGTTGCTAGATCTAAGGGAGGTATATTCCTTTCCCAACGAAAATATGTCCTAGATTTATTATCAGAAGTTGGACTTCTGGAGTGTAAACCTGCAGATATACCAATAATCCAAAATCACAAACTTGGAGAATATTCAAATCAAGTGCCAATAGACAAAGGCAGGTATCAAAGATTGGTCGGTAAGCTAATTTATCTCTCACATACACGACCCGATATTGCTTATGCAGTAAGTGTCGTAAGCCAATTCATGCATTGTCCAAGTGAAGATCCTATGAATGCAGTTATTCAAATTCTTCGATACCTGAAATCCTCTCCTGGAAAGGGACTTATGTTTTTTGAAGAAGAATCACTTAAGGGTTGAAGGTTATACGGATGCCGATTAGGCAGGAAATATTACAGATAGAAAATTCACCTCAGGATATTTCACATTTGTTGGAGGAAACCTTGTTACATGGAGGAGTAAGAAATAGAAATTAGTGGCATTATCAAGTGCTGAAACTGAATTTCGTGGGATGGCTAAGGGCCTTTGTGAACTTCTTTGGCTTAGGAGATTATTAACAGAGATTGGCTTCACTCAAGATTGTGAGATGAGTCTCTTTTGTGACAACAAGGCTGCTATTGATATTTCTCGTAATCCCGTCCAGCATGATCGAACCAAACATGTGGAAGTAGATCGACATTTTATCAGATAGAACCTTGAGGCGAAGATAATTCGACTTTCATTTGTTAAGTCTGAAGATCAGTTGGTGGATATACTCACAAAAGCTGTATGTAGCAAGAACTTCTACAACTCACTTGACAAGTTGGGTATCAGAGATTTATATGTACCAACTTGAGGGGGAGTGTTGGTGTGAGTTGTAAAATTAGAGTAATTTGTGGCAATAATCTTCTAATTAAAGTTGTAATTATAGCTGTCTACCTTAATTAGTTGGAAGTAGCCAAATATAGAGGTCATCCGGCTGCTATATGTATCTCTAAATTTCTGGTTATTGTATATACAAGAATTGTAGAAAATATATTCCCTAAACTATCAATTACCATAATCTCCGACGATAGTAATGATCATTTAGTTTTTCAAAGATAATTAAGATTTCTCATATAATTGTCATCAATTACACATAATATCATTCCATTTTGTTTATCATGCAAATTATAACTGAGACTTTCCCATATCTACATTAAAAAAAATCAAATAATCTCGCATGTAATTCAATATTTAGGCAACTCCATTCCTTCGAATGCATATAGATAGATAACCTTCAAAATTATTAAAACTCTAATTCCAAATTGATATATGTCCGCTGTTACACTCTTATTGAGTACTAGATCACATACACCTCTGTACCAACCCAACAGCTTATAAAATTGTCAACCATTAAATCCCTACACCTGATATACTTATATACTAGTCATTTCTGAATTGTAAGAAACATTTTCTCTTTTTTGATTCATCATAACTTATTTTCATACACTCAAACCGAGTAATTAAACCCTTAGTATTTCCTTCTATAGTAGTTGAAGTACAGACCTAGATACTTAATCGTTCTTGAATCAATAGGGAAGGAACCATAGTCCCATTAATTTACTCAAAATCATCAAGTAAAACATATTTAATAACACCATTTTCGTCATGAATCGACATTCCATATGGTTTCATTATTTTTGTCATGAACAAGATTTCTTGATAAATCTCCACATCTTGATATTCTAATACATGCATTTTCTTCCATACACTAAATATGATTACAAATTCCCACAATGATTCACATAATACCACAAACTTTTAGATTTACAAAGCAATCATGATTCACTTTTAATGTCACCAATTATACATATATCAACATTAGACAATACTTATCATCCAAGGCATCTAAAGGACATTCCCTCTAATAATCACAAAAGAAACTCATAACCCAATCAATCTCCTTACTAAGAAAAGTTATACTCTTCACTTAACTATCTATTGGATATATAGCACAATTATTAATATATTAGAGAAAATATAACATGGCGCCAACATGACAACTCTAACAACTCTCATTACCATCGGATAATTTTCAATAACATCCTCATATTTATTATGCCCAAATCAATAAAGATCCTTCTAGTTTCTTAGCTGGCATACCTTCGTTATTAATGGCAATATGAGTTTCAAATACCACATTGGAGCCTGTGAGTTCTGCCACCATGCCACGGCTAATCATCTCAATGACATACTATTCTGAAAAAGAAACTCATTAATTACTCGAGCTTAACAACCACTGAACCATGTTCTGATACCAACCGAGTGGACTTGACATGTGTCGTGCGCTGATGGTAGATACCAACTGAACATTGGACCTACCATTATGGCAACCTTGAATTGCTTGACTAAAAATTATTTTTAATAGAATTTTGACAGAGTTTCCCTGAAATACGAACGAAAACCACTTGAACAATTACCAATTTTCCTCAAATCAATACATATAATATAACACAAGGTACACCAGCTCCTCAAAATCCAAACTGTTCAAATAGAATACTCGTAAATCGATAATAACTTTGCCCTACAACCAAAGGTCCCCTAACGTACTAAAGATATCAAATAATAATCTGATAAAGTAGACCATACAACTATTGACGTGTGGCTCAATTAGGTGAATTGATAGGCTCCAAGACTGCTCAACTCTACTACTATCTGGTCAGAAAAAGGGTGGCAAAACATGAGCTTGTAACTCAGTGAGTGGATGATTTGCAAATAAGTATACTTTTCTCATTTATGCATATTTTCTGAAATTCTTGCTCTATTGAAACTTTAAGAAATTCTAAAATTTGGTAACACTTTTTACAATCAAACATTAATACATCATAAAATTTTTGGTTCTTCATTCTAGATAAGTAACTGAAAAATGTGACCAATATAAATAATATGACATTCGTGAAAATCTATGAAATATTGCTGCTGATCAATACTATAAGCTGAAAATTTTAATTTGAGAACTGAATAGACTGAATTCTATAATCTGAAATCTAATAAGCTGTATAAATACTGAAAAATCACACAAAAAAGGTACCAAATGAATAGCCTTACTCTTGTACAGAGTAATCTTGATGTACAAGGTAGAGCCATTCAAATCTGATATTCTAATAATCTGATCATACGTACGTAGAACTGCCCCAAAGGCTAATTACTCTAATACACGGCCCAAAGCCTATGTGTGTACGAGAGTGGATCCTAAAGACCTCTGATAATCTAATCATACACTATGGAAACATATGAATAATAGTGCATAACGGGTAAAATCATCATAACTAGTCCTACACTGTGAAACCACATTCACACCAGTGCAAACTGTGGTAAAATCACTTGAGTACTTTCTGGTGGTTTTAAAAATGACTTTAGCTATACTAAAATAGTTATATTCAAATAACATGCTAATCAAATGATTTAATTAAATTGAATTTAACCTTAAAAGTAACTGATTATAAATTCACTTTATTCTAAAAATCATGCTGTCAAATCAACTGTATGAAATAATAAATTTTCTAATTTAAGATAAATTTAATAAATATTAATTTCTGAAAATAAGTTTTTATATCCACTCAACAAGTTATGGATTGATCATGATTTCAATATTCTCGTCATCTCTGAAATATGATACAAGATAACAATTTAACAACCACCCTACCAAGTATTCTTAACTTTTAACTAGGAAATACTCGACTTCTCGACACTAGGATATATTCTTTAATTTCCTTCACAATTGGAACTAATTCTACCTTCTAGTCCTTTCATTAAAATCTAATTCATCAAAATAATCTTCCCTCCAAACATAAAAATAATTCCTTCTTCCAAACTAGTAAAACTAATAATTATAATTTAACCAATTTAAATTTCCATCTTGCTCCATAAATTCATGCCTTCAAATGAGTATTTCATCTCTACAATTATTCGTGTTAACTATATTCATTCAAAAACCCAAATAAAAATTCAAGATTTTTTCCAAAATTGGTATTTCATACCTTAATATAAGTAGCCTTCCCAATTCAAAAATATTGGCTTGCTAACATATCCCTTCCTTCAATCTGGAAATTAAACCAATAAATCACAACCGTAAAAAAATTAAGCATACAACATACCAAGAAATTTGTCAAATTGAAGATGAAATTGGAATAGCCAAGCCTACCTTTTTTCCTTTCTTGCTTTTCTTCTTTCTCTCTTTCCTTTCTCTTTTCTTTCTTTCTTCTCGATTTTTCCAGCTTCTCTACCCGTTTCCAGATTTTTGTAGGTATATATCAATTGAAAATGGCTAAATAGTTGAGCATTTGACAATTGTAATCCACTAATGCCCTCATTTGCATGCAAGTCCTCCACTTCCATATAACATCACATTAAATCCTTAACTTCCATTGGATATAAAATCTAACAACTTTACTTTCAATAATATATAAGTAAATCTTCAAAAATTAATTTTTGTCCATCTTAAACCTTAAAATATTGACAATTTATAAAATAAACCCCAATAAAATAATTTACTTCATTAAAGTTCTCATTTGACTTTGACTTTGAAAATTCAACTCTTGACTTTTGACTAGATAAAATGGGGTGTAATGGTGTTTCTATGATTTATGTACCTCGCAAGCAAGTGAATGATTCACGTGTAAAGACCCGCTTTCTACTAGAATTGTTTCGTAACGAGGTGAAATATTAATATTCTATTAGCTATACGAAGTAATATAGATCATAGGGTATTTAAAATAGGATTCAGATTACTTTCCAATAAATTGATTGGCATGTAAATGTAAACGTGCGACCCATTAACTTGACCTCTATTTTTTCAATAAAATGTGCAGAAATGTTTCAAATCAAACAGTCCTTAACTGCATAGCTCTTCGCGAGTTACAAAAAACCATTTTCCACGATAAGTTACTGTTTATTCTTTGCATCACAACCATGGAGTTTATGTGTTCATTTCCTATTTGTTAGATATTCAACCTATTTTCGCTAGTAAGGATGTCATTTATGTTGATCCAGGCTACAATCCCAGATTTTGAATACTTCAACATCAAATTCTTTCATTTACTGCATCAAGATAACCTTTAACATTCACTTAATATTCATTTTTTTTTTTTACCCATATTGGATCGATGTAAGTTTGTGTATAGCACAAGGACAATCTACAACTCCAATCACAATATGTATGCCTTCAAGGAAGGGTTGGAAGCTCGTTGATGATGTTGAATTTTTTATAAATGGTTCGCGGATGGCTATAAGCCAGGACACATGTAAGTTTGAGTTTGAAGATATGTGATAATGCAAAGTGGATTCATCAGAAATTTATATTGTTCTTATATCTATCTGCATTTCAGCAAATTCAAGTT